ATATATATATATATATATATATACAATTATTATCTGTCAATTGAAAATAACTTAAAAACACAGGTATACTTATAATATTAATGTATTAAATTACCTTCAGGCTGTGTTTGTGTATGTGTATATGAATTTAGTAAATTTCATGCTAAGACATGGATCCCACCCCAATATTTCTTATTATATATATATACACATATTCCAAAATCTGAGTCTATCTGAAATCTGAAACAGCTCTTGTCCCAAGCATTTTGGATAATGAATATTCACCTATACTCAATTTATAACCTACTAACCATGAACAAATACCATCTTTCTTTCACAATATCTGATGTTTGCATTGACAGATATTGTTATCACTCCCCTACAGGCTACACTTAAAACAGATAACAGAATGACACAATCAGATAAGACTCATTGTAACGTTTATTTTTTATTTTTGTCCCTTCTTCAAATCTTTGATTCTATATAAAAAATTCATTCTTACTGCAAACTAGTATTTCTTCAATTAAATCCATTAAATTGTTATATTATATTGAAGTCTAATTTATATTTCACCCTCAAGTAGTCTATTAAAAACCTCAGAACATTAACTGGCAATATTAACTGGAAATATGAAAAATGATTAAATGCTAGACAGAATGATAAACTGTAGAAAAAAATTTAATATGGATTATTCCAGCTGTGCTACTCAGTGATATATTAATTTCAGAAAATAGTGTTCTTTTGTGAAATTCACAATTATAATTAAATTTCTATTAAGTTTATTTTTGCCCACAGATTTGAGCTCTAGAACTTCATAGGCATATTGAAGATATTAATGTATAAATTCATATTGGAATTATAGTATCTTCCTGTCATCTTAGGTTTATAAGATATCTGGCTACAGTACAGATGCACAGCATTGTTCTGATTACAGTATTACCTGGAGCTAAGAGAAAGCCAACACTTCCCTTGAGCATTTGAAAAACCCATAAATAACATCGTCATATATATATCTTCGAATTATAATTTCTACCCTTCCCTATACAGGCCCTTTGTTCTGTTCTCAATTTGAAACCTCTGATGCCTAATGATAATTCCAAAAGGTACCCTGGGGATGTTCTGCCATTGTCAATATTTACAAGCAGATATTGCAGTAACATCTAATGTTTGTCAAATTGTGTTTCATGATTACCAAAGTGCAGAACTTTCTGAATCATTCAAATTGTGATGTAGCTTCTTTCTGAGCTTCACAGCAATATATTGAGTGCATGTAGTTTTACAGTAATTTTTCAATTGAAATAGTTCATTTAGTTTTTTTTCTTTGTATTTAGCAGTGAATACATGAAGGCTGAGATAGAGACTTATTGGAAGAGCAGATATATATCTATTGCCATGCATTCTTTCATTTAGGAACAGATAAAATCTTCATAAATCCTCTCACACCCTAGGAAAAGCATATTTTGGTAAGAAGTAACCTAGTTACTCACGAATATAGATTACATATAACAAAATTACTCCAAASGTTTTCCATATACTCCTAGGCTCACTTGAATCCTGGGAAAAATGTTGGGTTAAAGCTGATAATTCTATTTTATATATACTCAAGAAATTTGAATAATCTGAGGCATATGTTTTTGTTTTATTTTTTTGATACTGTGGATTAAACTCTGGGGTACTTTGCTACTAAGCTACATCTCTACTCTCTTTCACTTTTTATTTTAAGACAGGTCTTGCTAAGGTGTCCAGGCTGACCTTGAACTTGTGATCATCCTGCCTCAGCCTCTCAAGTCACTGGGACTAGAGGGATGCACCCAGGTGTGAAATTTTTTTTCATATGTTATCTACATATAATATTTCCCTCATTAGAATTTTTCTCAAGATGTATATTTAGAATCTCCAAGTACAAATGTTCCAAATTAAATAATATGGAAGACAGAGCAGGGTTGGATTAGTCAAAAAATTTACATTGACAATAGATCTTTAGAATATTTTCAATTTCCAAATATATCCAAGCTGTCTTATTAACAACAGAAGGTTCACCAGGTTTCTCTGATTATATTCAACTTGACTGAGGGAAAAATAACTTAAGAGCATCAGCTTCTGAAAGCAGAACCACTTTTTTTCAGAGCAACAAAAAGATCATCCTAGACAGAAGAACCAATCATCTAAGAATCTCTGAAGCATGAGATTCATAGAGTTTATTTTTGCAAAAGTATAGCATAAATATGACTTAATACAAAGACTTACAGGGAGATTACCAAATTCCAAGGTTAGAACTACCCATAAATCAGGTCACTTACCAGATATCTCCTCTAGGCACTGCTTAGCAGTCTTACTATACAAGGAGTCCATCTTTGTAGGACTGGTGCAGGAATCAGCAGATGGTGAAGAGGTACCTTCATTTTCTGAATGTGCTCTGAAATTAACCAAGACAGAAACAAACAGCAACTGTAGTCACAGTGACTCATCAAAGTGGAAGTTCTCCAGCACACAAGAAGAAATCAATTTATTATAAGTTTCCATCAAGGTAAGACAGACTTGCTTATGGTGAGATATTCCAGGACTGTCTATCTGTATGAGAATTTTTCAACTTTTCACATACAACTAAACCAGGAATAAGGTGTTATGTCAGCTTTTCTAAATTTGAAAGGTTGTAACCAACCACCAAGAGTTAATTACATTTATCAGGTAAAATACTTGGAAAGAGATGATTTTTTGTCTATTTTATAGAAAATCAGGCCACATTATGTTTTATGAGAATAATAAAAGCATTGAAACAACACCTAAACTTTTTTTTTCCCCAAGAAAATCCTACAACATATATCCCCAAGTACACAGGATGAATAAAAATGAAGAATTCATTGTGGCTACAAATATTATAAGGATTCAATTTCCAAAGATTTCAGAAGACCTAAAGTAAATGAGAAAACAATTCTCATTCTTAGATCTTCTATTAAGTGTTTTCTATCTACATGCACCTGCATACTGCGTGTTTATGTATGTGGCTAACTTGTAAAGGTAGGTCTGATCAAATGGAAAGCACTCAACAGAGGGACAGCAGAACTTCTTGCAACCTTTTCCTGTTAAATGCAGGCAAATGTTCTAAAAAACYCTTCTTGATGTAGCTTCAAAAATCTACATATATTTGATCTCAACCACCACATCTTTAAAAAATTCAGAGCGTGAACTTCTAAGACACAGAAGGAGGCAAGGCAACACAGCAAGCACTGCATGCTGCATGGTGTGCTTTATAGACATCTGCTTACTCACAGTATTACTTCTAACACAAGGTCTGGACCATGACAAGTTATTGCTGAATATTTATAACTTTAAAGATTTATAGAAATACTTTTATGTGAAAAAGTTTCTTCTTAATAAATTTTAATAAATATATTGCTTTTATTCTAAATCTTGGTTTTGAGAGGAAAACCCCCCCACAAATTGTAATCATTGATATCAGAAATAGTTCATATTTAACTGACAGATGAAGAACCTGAAATTTTCATGAAGATTTTAAGACATCATAGAAAACGAAATGCTATATGGATGGATAGATGTATCTGAGATGATACATAAAAGAATGACAGATCAAGAATTCCTATACACAGCTGTGCCTTGACCTCCAATAATTTCTGGCAGACTATTCATATTCATTTGGATTTAAAACTGAATATAATAAGCATAACCAATTTAAGTCAGAAGTTACAATATTCAAGCAACAGGACATACCATTAAGGCCAGCAAAGATCTCAGTGTTGTTAAATTCAACAAATATTTTTAGTCTTTTCCTTTCTTGATATCTTGGTAGTATTTCAAGAAGCAGACTACTTGGCTCTTCAAGAAACTATCCTACCTTGACTTCTATGCCAGCATCTTTCACTTTGTTTCCCATTCTCTCTGGAGACTACATTTTTCCTTATTTACTTTCCCTTAGTGCTCTCTGAACTTACACTTTTCCAGTATTTTATACACTTAAAATATGAAATTAATATAATTGGCTACTGTTTATCTCTCAAATTAAGATTTTCTTCGCTATGTTTAAGCTTTCCATTGCACTTGAAAGTCTAGTCCCATGTCTACGATAGAAGTAGCTCTCAACAAATATTGATAAGTGAGTGAATAAACCATATCAGTAGTGACAGTAAAACAGTATCATTGGAGGATGAAGAATAGAGAAGGAAAAGTTGCACAATGGTGTGTGCATGTGGGTTTAAAACTTGGCCCTATCCACTCTTGGTGGGGTTGTAAATTTGCACAACAACTATGGAAGTAAGTATGGGGGTTCCTCTAAAGACTAGGCATGAAATCACCACATGACCCAGCTATACAACCCCTCATATTTATCCTAAAAGATTAAAGTTAACCTACTATAGTGATATAGGCATGCCCATATTTATAGCAGCACAATTCGCAACAGCCAAACTATGGACCAGGGTAAGTGTCCAGTGAACAATAAATGGATAAAGAAAATGGGATATATATACACAATGAGTTTTATTTCACCATAAAGATAACTGAAATTATGTCATCTGCAGGAAAATGAATGGAGCTTGAGAACATTGTATTAAGTGAAGTAAGCCAAATTCAGGAGGTCAAGAGTCATATTTTTTATTCATATATGTGGAAGGTGGAGAGGAAAAAAGTAATGAAAGTTTGGGGAGTGTGTCTCATGAAAATAAAAGGGGAGATGCGTAGTACAGAGGAAAAGGACCAAGAAGTGGAAGGAGGGGAGGAAAAGGAGGAGTGCTGGGAAGTAATATTCATCAAGTTATACTGTTATATTAAATACAGGTACAAGGATGCAGCACAGACCCCACTATTATGTATGACTATAATGCACTAATAAAAAATGTGGGAAAAAACAAGCTTGATGCTATCACTAAAGAGTTATTAATTCATATGATCTTGGCAAGTTACTTAGATGCTCTGAGCTTTAGTTTGTTCACCTATAGAAACAGAGAAGTGCAAAGTCTTGAAAAATAATTGTGAAGTCAAATGTTATTATTATAAAAGGTCTAAAAAGTAACTGTCTTGAGGCATGTGGGGTTCTGGTCAATACCAAAACAAGGACCATATCTGGCTCTGAAGAAAGAGAAAAAGTCCTCTGATGTTTCTAAGGGTTTCTATTACTTGTTGAAGAAATTTAAATGGAGAGTAAGTAGTGAGACTAGGGTCCCCAAGGAAAGCTGACAGGCTGCCTGCCAAGAAGTGTCACAAAGGCACCATGCCTTGGTGAGCTGGCTGTGAGCCAGCACTGGCCTATTGTCCAGCAGACTGCATATTCATGGATTCATCTCTCAGCGGCTGAGTTATATTAAATAGCTCCCTGAGATGGCTGTCTATAGCTCAGTTCTAATTGGTCCTATGACAGCTGCTGGTCCTAGGAGTTAGAATTCTGGTGGTCATGTGAGTTATAAAGATTCCCAGTATCTTCTTCTAGAATAATCTGTAAAGGGAGAAAGAATATTTAGAATGTGTTTTGGTAGTAGAAATTTTGCTTTACTCAAAACAGGTCTTAAATGGCATTCTTCAGAGCTGAATTTTGGTTATCATCCTTAATGTTTGAGATTTATTTATTCAGTTTCATTGGCTAAGACCCCATACCCATTAAGACACTCTTTTATAATGTGTTCATACTTCTGACTGCTCAGCATTGATGTGAAAGCCTTTCATTTTTCTAATGTGGCAGTACTTTTGTCTCCGGTTGATTCACTCCTTACTGCTTTCTAGTCACAAGATAATCTTATTGTCAAGTTCTTTGGTTCATTTGGTTCATTTCCCATGGTAGTCCCCACGTGAGTTATCTACATTACCAATGGAAACAGATTAGTCTTTGAAAGGAATAAAGAGAAGTTAAACTTAGAAGTCATAATTGGTTTATATTCACATGCAAGTGGGACCAGATATCTGGCCTATGCACATTACAGCCCTCCATTCCTGAAGTATTTCCAATTCATAGTTTGATTAAGTAGAATTATATTTTAAATTCAGTCTATATATTTGCAGACAGTACTAAGTGTGAAACATTTAACTTTTATTCAAATGACCAAAAAAGTTTACTTAAACCTCTGAAGAATCCTCAAGTATCCCTTATTTTTATAACTGCCTCATAATAATAAAATATTTATTTGGGTTTATTTATGAAACAATTCATAAAGACTTCAGAATCTGAAGCTATATTTTGATGTCAGAGCAACTATTACATTAGCATCATTCAGTATTCTCACATTGATATTTTCCTTATATTAAATGAAAAAAGCAAAAATAAGTACTATGATAGTTAACAGATGTTGTCCTATGTAGACTATCTTGACATGGTTGTCGTGCTATATAGGTACCTAATAAAATTATAAGATACACCATTGCATAAGTAATGTTTAATTTACTTAGAGGTCTAATAAGCTAGGCCCTTAGTACTAGAGGAGATTACTAAGAGTTGTAGTAATTAACAATCAACATTTCACCAATGATTAACCTAAAAGCTATGACCTGATTTTGTGCACCTCTGGAAGATGCTTAACCCAGACTTGAACCAAACTGACTATAAATTAAGATCTATTAAGCAGTAACCTATAGTTTTACACCATCCAAATACTTCTGGGCACTGAGTATTTTCTTGTATTTGAGGTCCCCTTGGCACACAGACAGCTTAGTCACTAAGTCAATAACAGACAACTGAATGTAACAAAGTCCACTGGTCTACCCTAAATTTTATTATTTACTTACTGGACATTTAAACAAATTTGATAATAAATCCTAGATACTATCAAATTTCAAATTTCATAAATATGGGTGTTTACATATAGATTTATATTAAAAATATGTAAATAACTATGTAAATGTGTTTGCATATATATTTAAATATACTGCTTAGTTTTTACTGCTTAGAAAGGTGCAGTGAGATTTTGATTTTATTTTTCATTTATTTATTGTTTTAATATTTTTTAAGATGTTGATAGATCTTTATTTTTTTATTTATATGCGGTGCTGAGGATCAAACCCAGTGCCTCACACATGCTAGGCAAGAGGTTTACCACTGAGCCACAATCGCAGCCGTGAGATTTTAGTTTTAAATACTACTCTCCACAGAAAGAAATCAGGGCTCCTTAAATGCTGAAGACAAGTAGTGGAAAGTACAAGATGAGTTTAGAACACTCTGAGCCATTAAAAAAAATTAAAAATAAATAAAGGAATTCTCAAAGAGTGGTAGAGAGAGTTTGTCAAGCCAGTTTTAAGGGCTTCCAGTATCAAGACTTTTTGAGGGGTACTGGAGATTGAACATAGGGACACTTAATGAATGAGCCACATCTCCAGCCCTTTTAATTTTTTATGTTGACATAGAATATCACTAAATTGCTTAGGGTCCCACTAAGTTAATGAGGTTGGCTTTGAACTTGYAATTCTCTTGAGTGCTGT